GGGGAGTAAGAAGAAGAAGAGTGGGGAGTAAGAAGAAGAAGAGGGGGTAAGAAGAAGGGTGAGTATGAAGAAATGGGGGGAGTAAGAAGAAGAAGGGGGAGGAAGAGGAAGAAGAAGAAGGGGGGGTAAGAAGAAGAAGGGGGAGCAATAAGAAGAAGGGGGTTAAGAAGAACAGGTGGGGGAGTAAGACGACCAAGGGGGGAAATATGAAGAACACAGGGAGGAGGGGGGTAAGACGAACACAGGGGGTGTGAGGAGAACACATAGAGGGAGGAGTGAGAAGAGCACAGGGAGGGTGGGTGAGTGTGAGAAGAGACCGCTAGGGGAGGGTGGGGGAGAGGAGAGACCACTAAGGTGCAGGGGAGAGCTCTACGGGACAGAAGGGGCAGCTCTATAGGACAGGGAGCTCTTTCACACTACGCGCGCGCACACACACACAATGCATCCCTATACATACACAGAAACACAACATACTTCCCTTACACACAGAGAAACACACAATGCATCCATTACACACACACACACAATGCAACCCTTACACACAAAGACAATGCATCCTTTGCACACATACACAGAAACAGACAATGCAAACCCGTACACACATATGCAAACACAGAAACACAATGCATCTCTTACACTCAATGCACACACATACAGACACACACCTTGCAACCCTTATGCATACAAACACAGATTCACACAATGCATCCCTTACACACAACCAGAAACACATAATACATCCCATATACACAAATACACACTGCTTCCACTACACACAAACACACTACATCACCTGCACAAACTGGTAACCCTATACACTACATACCATAAGCACACATATTAATCCTCTACAATAACACATAACACATCCCCTACACACTCCACTCCCTGTGAGCGAACTCATGGGTGGGTGGAACTTATGAGTGGGCCTTATGGGCATACTCACCGTCAGGCCCTGGGGCCCAGACCTTGAGCTGTGTAAGGGGCCCCAAAAAATGGAGCTGCTTCCAATTCTCCCAGAACATTGAATTTTGTGACCACAGCTGCAAACAGCCTCCAGAGATCCTGTTCTACACCAGACCAGTGGAGCCAAACTGCAGCCCATCATCATCCTCATCTGCTTGTAAGTAGGCAATCTAGTATATTATTAGTGACACTAATCTATAATGTACCTCACATTAAAGGGACACTATAGCTTAATGAAGTGGTTCTGGTGTCTATAGCTGGTCCCTGCAGGCTTTTAATGTAAACACACACTGTGTGCAGCACTGGCGTTAGTTCATATGGGTGGGGCATTGTGATGTCACATGGGGGGGCAGCAAATTTTTATTTTGTCTAGGGCGGCAAAAATCCTTGCACCGGCACTGATCCTGGGCAGGTGCACCAGTCTACTGGTGACCCACAGGAGGGGAGTGCACTGATTGCACTGCACTCTCCTCCTGTCCAGCCCCATCTTTACCGCAGTGTAAGTGCCCTCTGCCCCTAATTTACAGTGGCTCACACTCACAACAAGCAGTGCCTGGAGCCGTGAAGGAGCGGGTATGGCATAGAGCTACTGATTAGCATAACATCAATATCCGTTATAAAACCAGGAAAAGGTGGGCATGGATGGTGAACTGATTTGGTGGTGCAATGGGCCACTTGACTGGTTTTGCCCCCCAGGCCTAAGGCTGCCAGCCCTCCCCTGGCCGTACAATGCTCCCACACCTACTTGCATAAAAGCCAGTGTGTATCATTAAAATTCTGCCTTTTGAGGGGAGACTTACAACCTCCATGACAGGAGGAGTACTCAGGTGGTGAGTGGGGTGGACGGCTGCCGCCCCACTATCCTGCCTGTTTGTAGCAAGCTGGACCCTTCATTCCCCCCCTCTTTGGACTGATGGGGGTTATCCCGGTCTACTCTCCGGAGGGCGCGTGGCATACCTGCTGAAAATCTTACTCGATCCAGAAAGGATAAAATGGCGGCTGCCGCGTGCTCCCCCACCTCCTGAGAGACCATTTCAGGTCTTCCTGGGCGCAGCAGTGGAGAAGTCTGAGACCCCCACATCAGAAGACAGGACCGACTCCAGGCGCTCCAGACAGATGGCCATACACCAAGAAAGCATCATCTATCCAACATGGACCCGACCGACGCATGGACACCAGCCGGAGTCTACTGTGGGGCCAGTGACACACCTGCAAGGACTAACTCCTGCAACACACAAGGCTATGAAACTCCCAAGGGACTTACCCGACTGCCGTACAATGCTCCCACACCTACTTGAGCGGGCCTCTGGGCCTACTGCCGGCACACAGCTAAAGCGGGGCGAGGGCTGGAGTCAGAGAACAACTACTGCTGGCACCATGTCTTGGAGCACTGCACACTGATGCCACCTAACACCTCTTGTGTATAGCTCCCACTGGTTTAAAGTGTGTATCTGTCCTCTATCCTCTTCACAGTGCATTGAGACAATATATGCATATATACACTAAACAGCCACAACATTATTAAAACCACCTGCCTATTACACAATAAATACTAGTCTTCAAGTGCTCCTTTAACATGCTATACTATATTTAATCTGTTATTTTCACCATTTAAACAGGACAGCTTTAAAGACAAATATTAGAGGGGTTCTAACATTTAAGAAATTAATATTTTGAAATGTAGACAAAATTACCATAGGTCTAAAATTCTCTGAGAAAAATAGAATGTTATGCTCAATAAATGAAGCACAAAATATTCTGCATAGGCTATTTTGTTTCTTGATGTGGATTTGGTGAAGCCCAGAATGCTATAGTTCACCTGGACTGCTGCCAATAAAGGTTTTAGCCTGAGAAGAAATAGAAGAGGTGAGAAGGAGCAACCTTGTCTAATAGCATTCTTTTTCTTATCTCCACAGGATAGCAACAGAAATGTAGAAGGCAATTATGTAGTAAGTACTTTATTATAATGCATTGTGAAGGTGCATTAAAGGAACACTCCACTGCGCAAAGTGCTTTATTGGTGTGGAGTGGTTCTTTAAGTTCATCCAAGGTACCATGAATACTTGACTACGGTTTAGATTAACTTTTTCATAATGAGTATGTAAAAAAAGAAAAAAAAGAAAAAAGCAACCCAGCCCTCACCAAAATTTAAAAAATGATAGACCCTGTAGGGCAATGAGTATCAGAACAAGCACTAACTAAATATCACTAATACACATTCATGGTCAATGGCTCTGAGATTCAGGACTGGTGTATCACAGTCAAAATCAGTTCCAGAAACACAGTCTAGGAGTCAGTAATTCAGATATCAAACACAGGAAAAATGATAACAGGAATACTCTCTCAAACATCTAACCTCTGATAGTACTAGTGCTTTTGAGCATATGAAGGAACAGAGATAAAGTAGCAGAGATAGCTGAGTTAACTTACCATTCCAAAGAGCAAAAAACTGTATCTTTATTCAGATTGTGCAATAGCATTATTGATATATTTATATGCAAATTTCAGTTTAATTTGATTGGTTGTGAATTCACAGCTATTTAATAACTTTTTTTTTTTTATAGAATGGCATCAAAAGTGAAGCAGACAGTGATACTGTAAGTATAGTGTTTTATTGTCAAATGGAGGAACATAAAATTAAGTTACTGAAAGAAAGCATAGCCACTACAGGGCTGTGGCACCAACCCATTCTAAGCAGTCAAGTTCTTTTTGACTTCTTACTTGGGGTCCGCTGAGCATTACTTCCAGCCTTTACTACTGCGACAAGAGAACCAGAACCACCCCTGGGCTAAGACCTTCAGTGCAGGGCTATTTCCTTGAAAGAAAACATCATTAATTAGGTTGGGGTTGGCTACAGCTTGGGGTCTTAATTTGAGTGGGTGAGCAATGGCATAACCAGCATCCTTGTATATTTAATTATATCCCACACCTGCGACCCTTGGGTGGGTGTCTGTTGGTGGTAATTATTATTAATTTAATAGCCCCCACTCACCACCTATGTCTAGGGGCTGGTGGGGGACTTTATGTCTCCCCGGGTTATAGTAAATGTTAGGACTTCTACAAGCCACTCATTGGTGGGGATACAGGGGAGACAATATGTGCCCCCCAACTGCATTTTATTATAGTCTCACTGTGGAGGAGTAGGGACAACACTATGTCTACTCACTGTATTAATTAATTGAAGCTGCACTTCAATAAACCCCTGATTTTTTTGTATTAATAGCACCCACTGTTACAGTAGACATGGCAGGTAGGGCATAATGGTTTATTGCTGTCTGAGAGACAGACTTATGTCCCCATACCCTGGCCTATTTCCTCATACCCCACACTATCGGATCTGTGGCTACAGGTTTGCACACTGTTAGGCTACTTTGTGTTCTGTCATAAGTGCTTCAATTGTGCATTGGATGTATGCAGTATGTAATACCAGTGGAAATAGATTCCTGGTTATAACCAATCAACAGCATTTACTGCGTAAGGGAATACTGGTGCAATGTTTACATTCTGCTTGAATTTTGTAATGTGTATTCCAAAATCCTACTTTATAAGGGATATATAAATGGTGAAATACTATAAATGTGTTAGGATATTGTTTGCCTGACTGAGTGGGGGAAAAAAAGCCCCAAAAACGGTAATGTCTTAATATTTCTCAATTTCTCTTAATTTCTGCAGACTAGTAATACCAATGAAGATGAACACCCTTACACTGTGAGTACAGTCCTACACCAACAAGTTAAATCAGAAAGCAGATACAGTCAGGTCCATAAATATTGGGACATCGACACAATTCTAATCTTTTTGGCTCTATACACCAACACAATGGGTTTGAAATGAAACAAACACGATGTGCTTTAACTGCAAACTTTCAGCTTTAATTTGAGGGTATTTACATCCAAATCAGGTGAACGGTGTAGGAATTACAACAGTTTGTATATGTGCCTCTCACTTTTTAAGGGACTAAAAGTAATGGGACAGATTAACAGTCATAAATCAAACTTTCACTTTTTAATATATGATTGCAAATCCTTTGCAGTCAATTACAGCCTGAAGTCTGGAATGCATAGACATCACCAGACGCTGGGTTTCATCCCTGGTGATGCTCTGCCAGGCCTCTACTGGAACTGTCTTCAGTTTCTGCTTGTTTTTGGGGCATTTTCCCTTCAGTTTTGTCTTCTTCAAGTGAAATGCATGCTCAATCGGATTCAGGTCAGGTGATTGACTTGGCCATTGCATAACATTCCAATTATTTCCCTTAAAAAACTCTTTGGTTGCTTTTGCAGTATGCTTCGGGTCATTGTCCATCTGCACTGTGAAGCACTGTCCAATGAGTTCTGAAGCATTTGGCTGAATATGAGCAGATAATATTGCCCGAAACACTTCCGAATTCATCCTGCTGCTTTTGTCAGCAGTCACATCATCAATAAATACAAGAGAACCAGTTGCATTGGCAGCCATACATGCCCACGCCATGACACTACCACCGCCATGCTTCACTGATGAGGTGGTATGCTTTGGATCATGAGCAGTTCCTTTCCTTCTCCATACCATCACTCTGGTACAAGTTGATCTTGGTCTCATCTGTCCATAGGATGTTGTTCCAGAACTGTGAAGGCTTTTTTAGATGTTGTTTGTCAAACTCTAATCTGGCCTTCCTGTTTTTGAGGCTCACCAATGGTTTACATCTTGTGGTGAACCCTCTGTATTCACTCTGGTGAAGTCTTCTCTTGATTGTTGACTTTGACACACAAACACCTACCTCCTGGAGAGTGTTCTTGATCTGGCCAACTGTTGTGAAGGGTGTTTTCTTCACCAGGGAAAGAATTCTTCGGTCATCCACCACAGTTGTTTTCCGCTGTCTTCTGGGTCTTTTGGTGTTGCTGGGCTCACCGGTACGTTCTTTCTTTTGAAGGATGTTCCAAACAATTGATTTGGCCACACCTAATGTTTTTGCTATCTCATGTTGTTTTTTTTGGGTTTTTTTCAGCCTAATGATGGCTTGCTTCACTGATCGTGACAGCTCTTTGGATCTCATATTGAGAGTTGACAGCAACAGATTCCAAATGCAAATAGCACACTTGAAATTAACTCTTGACCTTTTATCTGCTCCTTGTAAATGGGATAATGAGGGAATAACACACACCTGGCCATGGAACAGCTGAGCAGCCAATTGTCCCATTACTTTTGGTCCCTTGAAAAGTGGGAGGCACATATACAAACTGTTGTAATTCCTACACCGTTCACCTGATTTGGATGTAAATGCCCTCAAATTAAAGCTGAAAGTCTGCAGTTAAAGCACATCTTGTTTGTTTCATTTCAAACCAATTGTGTTGGTGTATAGAGCCAAAAAGATTAGAATTGTGTCGATGTCCCAATATTTATGGACCTGACTGTATCTATTGTCTAAAAATGGTTATTGATATCTGAGAGAAAGGAAGGTTTTATAAATTCTGTATGAATATAACCTGTGTTCCAATACACTGGCCTAGCCTGTATTTTATGGCCTCACCTGTAGTCCAGCCATTAATGTTTATCAGCTCCTAAAAAGTCTCTTAACACTTCAAATTGATTTTTTTTTTGCCATTAAATATGGAGCCAATATATTGCTTTGATTAATAGTGTTTTTCAAAAAATATGAAAATATTGATATTTTACCTAGCATGAAAACATCAGATTTGGCAATTCAGTTAAATTTATATGACATAGGCCTTGATTTAATTTGTGAGAATTGGAATCAGATATAATAACTGGCCTTGAAAATAACAACAAAATGCTAATAGGCAGGCAAATAGTAAAAAAAACAAAAAGCCTGTGGAGGTCAGTATGACCCCCACAGTGGTGGAAGGGAAGTTCAATACCTCTGCCATGCCCCCAGACGCTATGTCCCCTGGTCCTCTGGTTGTCAATCCCCATGCCATCACAATAATAAAGTGTCGCTTGTGTACCTACACGGAGGAGGTGTGTGGACATGGGTGGAACAATAGGTTCCCCCATTTATTAAAATTATAGCCCCGTCCACACATGGGGGGACATTAGGTTTCACCATTGATTATTAAAATCAGAACCCACACCTGTATATAATGCCCAGTTGCTAGTGATTTATTACTGTTTAGTGGACATGCCCCACTTGCATCTTGGCACGTGGGTACGGGGAGGTTTAACCTTCCTTGTTCTAATACAATGAAGTTTTACTGTTGTCACCATATCAGTAGCACTTAGAGGACTAACAATCAAAGCTGCTTAAGCCTGCTTTGATTGTCCTACTACATATCTGTATTTCTAATGCTACAGTCCTGATGCCCCTTGTCATTTAGGTCCCACCCCATGTGGCAAAAAAGAAAAATGAAATAAAATTAATATAAACAAATTACTCACCTTTTCTCCAGTACCACAAGAAATGATAGGCCAATCCAATGGTCCTCATTGAGGAGCATTAGGAAATCTAGGCACATGCACCACGATGCGCTTCCAATTCCTCCATATAGAATGATCTAATGCAATGATTCTCTATGTCCAACCGTGGTGGCACGCACATGATGTTATGATATGAGAGCTGGAAAGGAAGATTCTCGATTCTCTTACCCAGAGGGCTTGGAGGTGTGGCTTATAGCTATCTATTTAGTTTAATAGAGGGTTTTGGGGGATATGAGTCACTGTAAGAACTTCAAAAACACAGAGTTGTTAAAGTGCCTACAGTATTCCTTTACTGTACAAATATTGGGTGCTGGGAATAATAAATATCATGGTGCCGATTCTCTGACCAGCCCCATTTACAGAATAAACAGATATAATCTAAAAATCCGATCCTTCCCACATTCTATGTCAGTACCTTTACTGAATCTAGTCCCAGGATCTCCCCTGAATTCATAGTATCCTTGCACACACAAATATAATCTCTAGGTATTTTTACTGCTTGGATTGTTCATTCAAGGAAAGGAACTCATCAGTGAAGAGGGAAATACATATTGATTATAATTTTAGAAGAACATTTCATTTTATTTTATTTATTGTACTTAAGGCTGTTTGGTGGTCCAGAGTAAAGCAGCTACTGAATGGAAATATTACTCAGCATATATATGGCTCTGCCTGTCAGTCATCTAGATTCGATTGTAATTATAATAATGCATATTGACTAACCTGCCATTATTCTTTTTTTCTAGGATCTTAATTACTTATACACAAGTAGCGCTTACCAAGTCCTTCAAAGAGCAAACCAATAATACTTCACTTTGAATATCTGCTTTTGCCCCGTTGGCTGAAAAATACTTGTGAATTTGTCTAACAGGGAGGCCTAAAAACATTGAACATTTTCTATTAAATATATGTATATAAAATCACAATTGTTATATGACATGCACAGTAAATCTATAAATTTCCCACTTAAAGTGACTGTCATGTTTTTTTTTTTTCTTTCAGTTTTCCTTTTTCTTTTTCCCCTGTATCTCAATGATTATACTCCGCCCTTTGCCGCTTGCCCTTATTTATATGTATCATTGCTCTTCAATGCTCTGGATCTCAACAGCTGGGTGTTCTCTTATGTCCCTGAAGGCTGCAGTTTGTCCTTCTGTGGGATTCTTTTGATTGATGGATTGTGGGTCAATTAGCTTATGCAATCGCCAAAATTTGCCAAAATCTACTGAGAAAAAGTAGTCTCTACATTGTCTTACATATAACTAAAAACAAAATGTGAATTTCAAAAATTACAGAGAAAATATAAATACATTAAAAATCAATACCTGTGACAATAAGTGACAGAGCTACAATAAGTGTAAAATCACTAAAGCTGGTTTACAATTCAGATACGATGTATAACACACAAACCAAGCAATACAGATAAATCCAGTGTCTCTGTCCAAATGTCAGTTTTCTGGTCCCTGGTCTTCTAGCTGGCACTTGTTGCCAAACTCAGTCCAGTGGCATTAGAAAGTGGGGCCAAAGTGGAGCAGTTGTCACTGGGCGCTGGGACTGATGGGGCACCACAAAGCTGGACGAGCAGCCTGTCTGGGGAATACAGGGAAAGATGCTATACAGGTTTCCAAAGTAGGAACCATGGGAGTGAGAATCCTGGCAGCGAGCTCTCTGTCAATACTCTTCACATCAGAGCTGAGGCTGAAATGACTCTGTTCTATCGCCAGCCGTTAGTCACAGCTTCTGGTATGTCCTGATCATGATGTGCACTCTCTAAAGACTGTCAGTCCCCTGCTGCTCGGCCACTCTATGAGAAAGTATAGGGTGACTAAAGATGTGATTGGGGAAAGAGACAGACAGGGGGAGAATATAGAAAGAGGGACAGAGCTAAGATCTAGGTCTTTAAAGTCTAGTGAAAGAATCTTTATCTCCTGTACCTCATCCCTGTCTATTTTAGTGTAGACTGCGTGATCCTCCACAGACACAGCCAATTCCTTTATTTTGAAAACTTTTTTGCTTCTCGGGGTGGTCTGCCTTAAAAACCTAGGCAGTTCAGCAGATCACCATTCTGGCTATGTGATCGCTATATCATCGCAATCACATGGTCAAGAAGGGCCGAATTGGATGCAGGAGGATTGCCTGGGTTGTTGTCAGGCTGTCCCTCATGATCTGGATCACGAGGGAAGGTAAGTATGGGGGGTTCCTGATCTTTAGGGCATACTATGCAACCCTAACAGAGTTTAAGCCCACTTTTTTTCAGGGCGGCATGGTACGCCCTCAGGACATTAAGAGGTTAAAAAAAAACAGATTTTCTATTACAATTATTGTGTCTATCCATTCTTATATTTTCTAAAATTAAAAATCCTAACCTAGAGTAATCGAGCCATTTATTTGCAATGTCAACTATTGTTCAATCTGAAACCAACACCCAATTATATTAACTCCTGTTCAGGTAAAAAAATATATGGGCCCATCACCTGCTTCTCTCTCATGATCCAGTGACAGAATCTCTCAATATGTTTTTACATGAACTTTCATGTCTTTATGATGATTCAGACAAAACTTCAACAGGTGAAACTCCCCTAACTCTCCTCTGCCAATTTTCATGTGGGTTTATCAGATCATCTCCATGATGAACTTGCTAGGACAAGAATTCCTAAAAGAGGTAACGATCTTATGGAACTTACAGTACAACTTGACAGATGTGATCATTTGAAATGCTTATTTAAAATATTAAATTGAGGCCTCGTGATCATTTGAAAAGCGTTTCCAAAAAATATAATTTTTTTATTTTTTTTATTTCGAATTTTCAAATTCACGTACTGTTATTAATATGACAATAAAACAATGTTATTTTTCACTTTCACACTAACTTCTCATTACTAAAATACCTCTATCCTTCTGCTCACATGTCCCTGGCAAGACCATCTTCATTACTTCCACTTTACTCCCCTCCCCTCTCTATTCATCCCATGCACTCTACATATACATTTCCAGCTTACTTTCTCCAAATCCTCTATGTACATTTCTCGTCTCACCTCACTTAAAACCTCTACCCACCCAACCCCTTCCCTCTCTTTCCCTTCATTTGAAATTCATTTGATTCTCCTCTTCAAACGCTTCTCTGCTAACATTGCTGTTGTTTATCGCCCCCCTGGTTTCCCTCTCCTCTTCCTTGACCACTTTGCTGCCTGGCTACCCTACATCCTCTCTACTAATATTCCATCCCTAATTCTCGGGAACTTCAATATTCCCATTAACCCACCTTTGACCTCAGCAGCCTCTAAACTACTTTCAATTAGTTCCTCCCTCGGGGTATCGCAGTGGGCTAATTCTCCCACCCATGTAGCTGGCAATACCCTCACCCTAATTTTCTCTAATGCATGTACAGTATCTAATATCTGCAACATTCTATTTCCTCTATCTGATCACCACCTCTTATCGTTTGCTCTCAAGTATCCCCTCACCCAGCAACTTCAGCCTAACCCCCCTCAACTCAGGAGGAACATTAATTCTATTGACCTCCAGCAGCTGTCAGCTGATATTGATTCACAACTGCTATCCATCACTGCCCTCTCCTGTCCATCACTGGCCATCTCCACATATAACACTGCCTTTACCTCTGCCTTAAATGCTCTAAACATGCACTTCAAGGAGGACACAACCCCCACCGTGGCATAGTAAATCAACACGTTACCTACAAAGATGCTGCTGTTGTGCTGAATGGTCCTGGAGGAAGTCTCACACCCAGGCAGACTATCTCCATTATATATTCATATTGTGTTCATACAGCGTAGCCCTTGCCCGCGCCAAACAGTCATACTTTTCCTCTCATTAGTTCATGCTTCTGCAATTTCAATCATCTCTTTGACACCTTTAACTCTCTTTTTTGCCCTGCTGTAGCCACCCCACAAACTAACCTTACAGCCAATAGCTTTGCATGCTACTTTACCAACAAGATTGAACAGGTAAGGAAAGAATTCTCCCCACCTTGCCGTTCTCTTTCTCAACCACACGTTAATCATGCCTTTTCTACCCTTCAGACTTTCTCCCCGGCTACTGAGCTGCGCTTCTCCTTTCCTCTTGCCCCACCACTTTCCCGCTCGATCCTTTCCCATCTCACCTTATCAGATCTCTCTCCCCCTGTCTTGTGCCTTCATTAACACACATCTTCAACTGCTCTCTCTCTTCTGGCATTGTCCCTGCTGACCTTAAACATGCCACTGTAGTACCTATCCTGAAAAAAACATCTCTTGACCCGTCCTCTTCCTTATTCCTCAAAGCTTCTGGAAAGACTTGTCTTTACCCATATGTCTCACTTCCTCAATTCCAACTATCTACTTGACCCTCTTCAATTTGGCTTCTGCCCTCTCCACTCTACTGAGACTGCTCTTATCAAAGTTACTAACGACCTAATCGCAGATATATCCAAAGGCCACTACTCCATACTAATTCTTCTTGACCTCTCTGCTGCCTTTTATACTGTTGATCATGCTCTCCTTCTTCAAACTCTTCAATCACTCGGTCTAAGTAACTCTGTCCTCTCGTGATTTTCCTCTTATCTCTCCCAATGCCTATTTAGTGTTTCCTTTTCTAATGATACACCCTCCCCTCGTCCTGTCTCGGTTGGAGTCCCCCAAGGCCCCCTTCTATTTTCTCTTTATTCTGTCTCTCTTTGCAAATGTATTAACTCATTTGGATTCCACTACCACCTGTTCGCTGATGACACCCAGATATATCTCTCCTCCCTGGACCTCTCCCCTGCCGTCCTGCAACTTGTCACTGCTTGCCTTTCTTCCATCTCGGACTGCCGTCCTGCCACGTGTCACTGCTTGCCTTTCTTCCATCTCTGACTAGATGTCCTCCTGCTTTCTGAAACTCAATCTCTTTAAAAATGAGCTCCTTGTCCTTCCTCCTCCTAATACTGATCCTCCTCTTTCGCTCTCCCTTCAAGTTAGTGGTATCCACATCACTCCATCCTTGCAAGCGTGCTGTCTTGGCATCATACTTGATTCTGGCCTCACCTTTGGGCCTCACATCCAGTAAGTTGCCAAATCCTATAAATTCCATTTTAAAAACATAGCCCGCATCCGCCCCTTTCTTACCCAAGATGCAACCAAGGAGCTTGTCCATGCTCTAGTAATTTCCTGTATGGATTATTGTAACCCTCTCCTAATTGGTCTTCCCAAAAGCCATATTGCCCCGCTACAGTCTGTAATGAATGCTGCCGCCAGACTGATTTTCCTCTCTAGTTGGTCCTCTCACACCTCACCCCTCTGTCAGTCCTTACATTGACTTCCTGTATCCTATAGGAGTCAGTTCAAAGTGCTAACCCATACCTATAACGCGCAGAACAATTCTAGCCCCTTTTATATCTCTTCACAGATCCATAGGTATTCCTCTTATCGGTCTCTGTGCTCTGCCCGTGACCTTCTCCTGTCCACTGCTCGCACCCGTACAGCCAACTCGTGCTTGCAGGACTTCTCGTGCGCAGCTCCATTCCTATGGAATAGCTTGCCTACCTCCATCTGACTCTTGCCGAGTCTTCAATCGTTTACAAAGTGCCTTAAAACCTCTCTCTTTAGGAATGCTTATGGCCTCCCAGAGTAACCTCTACCTCACATACCTGTCTCTTGCTCTCTCCTCCAGCTCTGCTTCACTCCCACCTTATTTGATTGCTATTTCCTGTCCTAATGTGTTTTAAATCCCACCTCCTATAGACTGTAAGGTCATTTGAGCAGGGTCCTCTTCAACCTATCGTTCCTGTAAGGTTTCCTGTAATTGTCCTATTTATAGTTAAATCCCCCCTATTATAATATTGTAAAGTGCTACGGAATCTGTTGGCGCTATATAAATGGCGATAATCATAATAATAATAACGATCTAGCAACGCAAAATATCTTATTCTCCGGAACATAATTAACATTGTTTCAATTGTTTCAAATCTTGTCTTCTTTACAATACACCTTAATAATATAACGGCAGTGAGTCTTTTATAACTTATAAAGTATATGGAGTTCAAACTTAAAACTTTAAACATAAGGAAGAAAAAAGGAAAAAAAAGACAAGAGACGGTTGGAGGGGGGAAGGAGGGGGAGGGTGAGAGGATTTTCCCATAAACATTAGTTCATGGCATCAACAGTCAAGTAACAAGTTACTATATAATTACATATATAACTCACAACAGTACATATTCAATAAACCTGGTATAATAGTAATAAAATTCCAATCCTCTTATAGCTAACAAACCTTATCTTAATTCATAAGAGAACATATTGAATTTTCCTTAAATAGGACTCCCAAATTTCCCAAGCTTCCCTCCAAAACTTTTATGGTTTACCCATTTTCCTAGCTGCAATGTCATATATTTTTGTGCGTTCCAAGTTATTTATACAAGATTGTGTAGTTAAAATAATTTCAGACAACCAATTCCTACTTATTACAATTAAAGCAGCTAGAATTTTGTGAAACATTAAATATTTAATACATTTCTTCATTTTGATTTGACAGTATTGTACCAAGTAGGTTTCAGGGCAAAACAGAAGCTGTACTCCTGTACATGATACAATTTTTCAGCTATGTTGCCCCAATATGCCTGTTATTTCCAAAAATATTAAATCAAGGAATTATTCTTCTCGTTACATATCCTTAATACTAATAAATGTTGTAATTTGGGTCTCTGACGTAGCCCTTAGACAGGGAGTATATCAGAATATACTAATAATATCCTTACTACAAGGAGTTAACTTGCCTGAGCATACAATGATGCTCCTATTTAAACTGGACTTCATTATTGACAGGGTTATTCCCTGGAGTCCCTACAGCCTTGTACCAAACAAGGTGAAATCATTCAGCTGCATGTGGGGCCATTCAGACCCCAAATTCACGCTACTCAACAATTCAGGCTCCAAACAAATTGTAATCTTTAGGCTACGTTTGGTCCGAGTAAAAGTCAGACCCAAATGATTCAAATCCAGGTCTGGATTTTTAAACCATCCACACTATTTGACTGCTGGCAGCTCTAGTAGCCAGCGGGCAAACTGTTAAAAACTATCAGCAGTGTGAAGGTTAATTATGTGACTGCTACTTGCTAGTCTTGCTAGTCAGCTGCGCCTGCTACATAAAATAGTTAAATAAGTTAATTAATGTATATATATAAAAAGCCTATAGTGGTCAATAGGAACCCCATATTAATATAAGGGAGGTTTAAAATCTCACAAAGAACAGACATGAAGATATAACAGGTACTACACACAAATTTAAGCCACTATCAGTAAGCACGTGTTAACTGTGGGGTTTTGATTCTACGTGGTGGAGACCTTCCAAACTGGTGTTCTAGCTCACAGGCAGTTTAGAGAATTTAAGTACCTGACTGTAGAGACAAAAGTCTCCTTAAAACATATGAATTTAAATGTCAAGAACCCTCTCCATTCCCCCACCTGCCATTGGCAATGTGAGGGGACATATCTGCTTAATATTTAAAACTAGCAACTGGGCAATGCCTCTCAAGACTTGCCTGTCAGAGTGCTCTGATTAGTTTACTTACTTGCCAACCAAACAGAGCGCACTTACTGATATTACATACTATGGGAATTTTTTCCAAATGTTATACCTGACATCATAGGCGTGCGCACGGGGGGGGGGGGACACACACCCTAATCCCCGCGGCACGCCTATTGATTGAGACCGGCAGGGGAGATCTCAGGATCTCCCCTGTCGGCTCACACAGAGCCAGCTCTCCAAGCCTCCATGGGCCGGTGGGGAGCTCAAAGATCTACTTCACCGGCCCACAGCAGCATGGAGGGAGGCAGGAGAGGACCTGGGGAGCTCTAGCCAGCAGCTAGTGAACGCAAGAGTGAACTCTAGCCCCACACTCTCCACTGGACCACCAGGGATGGTATATGGCAGCAAGGATCCCCCCTCCCTACATAAGGTAAGAAGGGAGGGGGATATTTACTAATCTGCCCCCACCTCCACCCCCACAATCCCTCCAAACATATGGCACACATACACATACAGCACCCTCACACACACAGCACACAAGTAGCAGCCTCACACACACAGCACCCCCCCCCACACACACAGCACCTACACTCATACAGCACACATCCAGCACACACACAGTACCCTCACACACACAGTACACTAACAGCACCCTCTCAAACACACACAGCACCCTTACAAACACAACACCCTCAAATACAGCACACTAACAGCACCCTCACAAACACACACACAGCACCCTCACACACAGCACACTAACAGCACCCTCACAAAGACACGACACCCACACACAGCACACAAACAGCACCCTCATACACACACACATCACACAAACAGCATCCTCACACAAACGGCACACTAACAGGACCCTAACAAACACACACACACAAACACCCTCACACACACAGCACACAAACAGCATCGTCACACACAGCACACTAACAGCACCCTTACAAACACACACACACACAAACATCCTCACCTACATAGCACACTAACAGCACCCTCACACACACAGCACCCTCACACAGCACACTAACAGCACACACACACACATCAAAGCCTGCGGCAAACTCTCATGGAATTAAGATAGAAGTAAAAAAAAATTTCAACGTATTTTTTTATTTCGTTTTCATTAGTTACATCTGGAATTTTGGATTTTAACATGGCCTTTTTGGGGCTGACGAAAAGAAGAGTTAGAAGAAAAAAGACTTCAGTTATTTAGAGCTCCACCCAGCACCCATGGCAGGGGCTGAGGGGCCGACTGTGACGAACTGGACCTCATCACGAGTTCTTGGAGGGGCATACTTGCCAGCCGCTTGCTCTGTGACTATGGCCCCTGTGTTAAATCCTGGTTAAAACCACTGTGTGTGCCTTTTTGTACTTGTATGGCCACAATTCGAACTTTCGAAATGGCACTTCGAACTCTCGAACTTCCAAAGCCATTTGAAGTGCTATTCGACCATGAGGTGGCAGCCATCTTTTTCATATGGACCAAAACTGCAAATAGACTTCAGGGGAACTTAGTCACGCATGCTCTGGAATTATTTTCGGTATGAAAACCTCACGATTGCCGGTCGGTCCTCCAGCGGCACTTGACTGCGATTCTATGGAGCTATTTTCGGCTTTGGGACCATGCCTGCGGTCGGTAAAATATATGACTTCCATAAAATTTCTGAACTCATGAACTGATCTGGGTGATTTTTGGATATGTTGGTCACCCAGATCAGGGCTATCAAAATATTACAATATTTCTCTTTCTCTCCTTATAGTAGGTTATCTTAAATTGTTAAATTTTTCTCTTTCTCTCCTTATGGTAGGTTATCTTAAAGATTTTTTTATAAATAATCTTTTGAATATTTTTTATATACTTCTATATATTTTTATGTATATTTTATAATTATGTAGGTTTTTTTTAAAGGAATAAAACTGTGTAATATGCTTCATATTTTTTTTACAATTGTAATGTACGTGTATATATATATATATATATATATATATATATATATGTTTAATAAATCTGAAATTAGCCAATTTGCACTTTTGGAGAGATTGTAATTATCTCCATATGGACGCTTTCCCAATTACGAGACTGTATTGAAGGAAAACATGCCCACAAAGGCGTGTATAAAAAACTGTTACAGGCAAGAGTGGGCAGTTCTAAAGAAGCTGTGAACACGGCGAAATGTGTCATTACGCTCAACCACGCACGAATGCACGCATAGAACTCCTGCAGACTTGTAACTCCGCCTCCTGGAAGTCTACGATTGCAATATACCTGGTTACCGGAGAGAAAGAAACCTGAATGTTTGTACTGCTGCTGAAGGGGTTGTGATACATTGAGATAAACAACATATGAATTTTAAAGTGAGTGTTTTGTGTGTGTTTACCACATTTTTGCACATATTTGCACATTATATAAGTGACATGGAGTTTTATGCACTATAATGCTAATTGCACTTCTGCACATTATAACACTTGCTGCAGATGAAATTGAATGTAGAAAGCTGCAAAGTTATGCACTTTGGCATCAAGAATGCACAAGCAACTTATACCCTTATTGGAAGCGAATTAGAGATAACCACACACGAGAAGGACTTTGGAATTGTTATAGACAACAAACTATGCAACAATGTGCAATGTCAATCAGCAGTGGCTAAGGCCAGTAAGGCATTCTCATGCATGAAAAAGGGAATTAATTCTCGGGATGAGAATATCATTTTGCCTCTTTATAAATCACTGGTAAGACCACACCTTGAATATGCTGTGCAATTTTGGGCACCTGTTCTAAAGAAGGATATTATGGCACTAGAAAGAATGCAGAGGCAGGCTACAAAATTAATAAAAGGAATGGAAAATTTTAGCTATGAAGAAAGGTTAACAAATTAACAAATTTAAACCTCTTTAGTTTATAAAAATGTCGCCTCAGAGGAGATTTGATAGCATTATACAAATATATCCGGGGCCAATACAAACCATTGTGTGGAAATCTATTCACAAACAGGACCTTACATACGACACAAGGTCATGCGTTTAGAGTGGAAGAAAGGAGATTTCATCTAAGGCAAAAGAAAGGTTTTTTTACCGTAAGAACAATAAGGATGTGGAATGCCTAAAGAAGTGGCATTATCAGAGTCCGTACAGATGTTTAAACAACAACTAGATGCATACTTGAAAAAACTGAATATTAAATGATATACTTTTTCAAGGGTAAATGCTTCTTGACCCAAGGATTAATCTGACTGCCATTCTGGGGTCAAGAGGGAATTGTTTTTCCTAGTTTGTTTCAAAAAAAGTACTTCAGACTGGTTTTTTTTATCCTTCTTTTGGATCAACAGCAAATAACAAATGTGAGGAAGGCTGAACTTGATGGACACATGTCTCTTTTCAGCTATGTAACTATGTATTTATTATGAAGAACATTATTTATTTACTTATTAACAAGCCCATATAACCACACTCTTGGCTCACTGAACTAGGCATCCTCACAAAATAGAAAAGCACACTATTAACATAATACAATTTTAAAACCAAAAGTAATAGCCCCAAAAGAAAAATAAATCTCACAGTGAGAAGACTCTGCAAAAAATTAATGTTCAGTTTTAGCGCAGAGGATTTACAGCTAATTACGGCTCTATTTTTGTTACAAGTAAATAACATTTCATATGAATAGTTAAGTACTACTATCCATAATAATACCACAAAGCAGTGTCAAGCACACATAACAGACATGGCTTCCTTCCTATCAAGGTAATGATAGGGCACTTAACTATTGACTATAATATGTTCTCCATATTGTTTATAAGTAAACGTTATTTCCACCTAATGAATATACAAAAACAACACATTCAAAATATTTGACAAACACAATTAAAGTTTTCCAGCAATAGCTGTAATTCCCCAGGCTATTTAGTGAGCTCTGCCCCTACCACAACATGATTCAAGATGTCCCCACAACGTTATATAGCAGTATTAAAGGGACACTGTAGGCACCGAGAGCATTTCAGCTAATTGAAGTGGTCTGGGTGCAATGTCTCATGTCCCTTAACCCCACAGTGGTAATTATTGCAGTTTCTGAGAAACTGCAATGAATACATCCAGGGCCGGACTGGGGAAAAAATTCGGCCCGGGCATTTTTAATTACAGCGGCCCACTGAAAAGGGGGCGGGGCCAGATAGGGTGTGTTTTGTCATCCCCAATGACAAGCACGCCCCATCTCAAAGTGAGCATGTTGGTTCAATGCTCTTCCAGGGCATGAGAAAAGGGCCCTGTATTTGATCTGCACAGCGCAAGCAAATTTAATAACATGCTTGCATTGTGTTTGCTTGAAACTTGTCTCAGGGGTTTGCTAAAATGGAATACTCACTGTATTTTAATACTCACTTTGCTTAAAGGGTATCTAGTGTGTTCATAGGGGATCCTGAGTGTGTATGTCAGAAATGTAGTGTGTGTGTAAGTGGTACAGCGACTGTGTGTAGGGGATCTAGTGTGTGTTTGAAGGACTCAGGAGTGCGTATATGAGATCTAGTGAGTGTGTGAGTGGTGCAGTGTGTTTGGGGGGTGCTGTGTGTGTGAGGGGTGTAGTGTGCATTTGTGAGGAGTAAAGTGTGTGTGTGGGAGGGTGGTGTGTGTGGGGGGGTGCAGTATGTGTGTGTGAGGGTGCGGTGTGTGAGGGCGCTGTGTGTTAGGGCACTGAGCGAGGGTTCTGTGTATTTGAGGGTGATGTGTGTTGGGGTGCTGTGTGTGTGTTGAGTTGCTGTGTGTGTGTTGGGGTGATGTGTGTGTGTGTGCTAGGTTGCTGTATGTGTTAGGGTGCTGTGTCAATGTTAGGGTGCTGGTGTTAGGGTTAGGGTGCTGTGTGTGTGTTAGGGTGCTGTGTCAATGTTAGGGTGCTGGTGTTAGGGTGCTGTGTGAGTGTTAAGGTGCTGGTGTTAGGGTGCTGTGTGAATGTTAGGGTGCTGGTGTTAGGGTGCTGTGTGAGTGTTAGGGTGCTGTGTCAATGTTAGGGTGCTGGTGTTAGGGTGCTGTGTCAATGTTAGGTTGCTGGTGTTAGGGTGCTGTGTGAGTGTTAGGGTGCTGTGTCAATGTTAGGGTGCTGGTGTTAGGGTGCTGTGTGTGTGTTGGGGTGCTGTGTCAATATTAGGGTGCTGGTGTTAGGGTGCTGTGTGTGTGTTGGGGTGCTGGTGTTAGGGTGCTGTGTGAGTGCTATGGTGCTGTGTGTGTGTTAGGGTGCTGTGTCAATGTTAGGGTGCTGTGTGTGTGTTAGGGTGCTGGTGTTAGGGTGCTGTGTGTGTGTGTGGGGTGCTGTGTCAATGTTAGGGTGCTGGGTGAGGGTGATGTGTGTGTTTGCAAGGATTTTGTATTGGGGAGGCAGGTAAATGGCACTATTAATGTTTTACTAAAAAAATATAATAATAATAATAAATACATAATAAATAATAAATACATAATAATAAATACATAATAATAATATAATAATAATAATAAATAATAAATACATAATAATAATAAATACATAATAATAATAATAAATACATAATAATAAATAATAATAATAAATACATAATAATAAAAATACATAATAAATAATAAATACATAATAATAATTAATAATAATAATAAATACATCATAATAAATAATAAATACATAATAATAAATAATAATAATAATAAATACATAATAAATAACAATAATAAATAATAATAATAATAAATACATAATAATAATAATAATAAATACATTATATTAACCCCCCCTCTATTCTTACCTGTAGTCTGGAAGGGGGGGGGGGTCGTGCTCCTGCCAGCCATCCCTGGTGGTCCTCGTGGTAAGTGAACTCTAGCCCTTTGGGGCTAGAGTTCACTCTCGCGAGACCCGGCCGGTTGCCATAGCAACGGTCCGGATCTCGCGAGAGAAACCCGGCGGAGCTGCAAGTTAGAGCTCCGCCGGGTCCTCTTTCCTGGCGGCTGTCTCCCTCCCTCTCTCCCCGCCAGTGGCCGCGTTTGAGAGCATGTGGGCCGGTGAGGGAGAGCTTTGATCTCCCCACCGGCCCTCCATGGAAAACAGCGGGGCCGGCGCTCGGATAGTGCCGGCCCTGCATAGACCGGCAGGGGAGATCCTGGGATCTCCCCTGCCGGCCTCGGCCCCACGGACACCGCGGCCCACCGGGCATTTGCCCGGTGTGCCCGATGGCCAGTCCGGGCCTGAATACATCTAAGGGTTAACCCCACCTCTAGTAACTGTCTACCAGATTTTCGAGAAAGCACTCCCCGTGGCAGTCACTTGTCATAGTACCTTAAAGAACACTCCACTGCCCAAATTTTTTTTAAAAATCACTGTTTAGTAGATATACTACAAATTAAAACATGCATGTATTTAATTGTGCATTTTTTTAAAATTGGGTGTATGCGTAAAAACAGCTTGCAAAAATTGCAACACTGCCCACACTTTCTGTGGCTGTCCAATCACAGACTTCACAATGCAGCTCAGTAAGATGGTTTTTGCAAGGCAGCTGCTCTGGGCAATTGCTGCCTATTGAGTTTAGCTCCGCTGAGCTAACCAAACCACTAAGTAAAAGGTCACCTGATTGAAATTTCTATAGCCAGGGGGTGTATCTAGGTAATTCTATTGAAATCTGCACTTGTGGTAAAATTAATAAAACACCAAACTAGAGTGTTTTAGGGGTCTAAATGTTTAAATGTGCTTTTTATGAATTTTTATTTCATTATCATCATTATCATTTATCATTTTTTATTATTATTATGTATAATTATTATACTGCCGGTTATGTTGTCCAACAGCACAACATAGGTAGTTCTCTAGATGAGGAACAATGCTCTGGGAAATGTTTTTCTTATCCTAA